TTAGTGTGGAATTTATGGTACAAATGGCTGGAGGAGAGATGTAAAGAATAAGAAAGCATCAAGGGAAGAAATTAAGAAATCAGAAAACAATAAAAACTGCATAAATAAATAAGATGGGGGGGAAATGTAAGATATAAAATATATAAAATAGTACAGACTAATAGGTATAAGAAGAATATATGTACACAGATAGATATAAGATGTATAGAAATTAGCACATTAAAAGTAATATGTATAGAAATATAAGTACATATCCATGGATATAAGAAAATGTATATGTACGTATATACGTATGTACGTATGTACCTATACATATATGGACAAAAAGTACAATGGAAGTATACCGATGTGGAAATGTTGCAAAGATGATAACTGTGTAAAAAAAATGGAAAAAACTTTAATTAAAAAAAAAGGAAAAAAACCCCATACCAAGCAATTTCTCCCGTTAGTTGAAAATTCTCACAACCTCCCTCTCAAAGAAAACATGAAAACACTTAGAAAAGAGACATCATCCAATATCTCTAAAAAGTCACATCCAGAAACTCACCTGGGATAAATGGAAGAACACCCCAGACTACACCCCCTAAAAAAGGAAGACAAGTGTTTGTGATAGTAGATTCTATTCTCAAAGGAATAGAACCAGCCATCTGCAGACCAGATATGCAATCTAGGGAGGTATGTTGTCTCCCTGGAACAAAAATCAAGGATGTGTCTGAGAACCTAACCAAAATAATTAGGCCCACAGATTACTACCCTTTTTTACTACTACATGTAGGGACAAATGACACAAACAAGACTTTTTCATCTGTACTGAAAACTAAAGGACAACATTGGTAGGAGAACAAAGAATTCTAGAGGTGAACCACTAACTAAAGGGCTGGTGTTGCCAAAAAAAACTTTGGATTCCTGGACCATGGTCTGCACTATCTCCATGATGGGCTTTTGGCAAGGGATGGGCTACACCTCACAAAGACTGGGAAGAATGTGTTTGGAAACCGACTGGCTCAACTTATCAGGAGGGCTTTAAACAAAAATTGAGGAGGAAGGGTGACCAATCTTTAGGATCTCCAGGATCTAATTCCAAGCAACAGCCCCTAGAAAGCATGTCAAATAATGAAATAAGGAGGGATGGGAAGGAAGACAAACTCAAACACCAAATAGGAGACATAGGAAGCATACTCAGACATAAATATCTCAAGTGCCTATATACAAATGCACAAAATCTGGGGACAAATAGGGTGAACTTGAACTATTAATACATGACGGTAGATATGATATAGTTGAAATAACAGAAATTTGGTAGGATGAAACCCATGACTGGAACATAGTAATAGAAGGATACAAACTATTCAAAAAAACCAGTCCTAATAAAACAGGAGGTGGAGTTACACTGTATGTAAAGGACGTCCTTATTGCTAACCAACTAACAAATATATGTAGGAAACACACTAGAATAGTTATGGGGGACTTCAATTACGCTGATATCAATTGAAAGACTAATTCTGCACCAAGTGAAAAATCAAATAAGTTCTTAATCAACCTAGGTGACAACTTTGCTGTCCAAAAGGTAGAGGAAACTAGAGGGACAGCCATACTGGACTTAATTCTTACAAACAGAGAAGAAGTGATAGAGGGAGTTAAAATTGCAGGAACCTTGGGTGAGAGTGACCATTTCATACTAGAATTCACCGTAACTCAAACACAAGCAATAGAACATTAATGATACCAGAGTCTTAGATTTTAAAAGAACTGATTTTAACAAACTTATAGTCTAGGAAAGATTCCTTGGATGAAAATCCTAAAGGGGAAGACAACTCGAAGAAACTTGGTAAACTCTGAAAAATATAATCATAAAAGCCCACACCAGGACAATACCACTGAGAAAGAAAAGGAATCCAAGAATAAACCAGCTGCATAAAGATCTCTCTGACAAATTGAAAGACAAAAAGGACAGAAAATGAAAAAAGGGACACAATAAGACAGAATATGATCAGATAGCCAGAACCTGCAAAGGCGAAGTCAGGAAACCAAAATCTCATAATGAACAAAGACATGCAACAAAAGTCAAAGATAAAAAGTTTCTTCCAACATATAAATTACAAGAAAAAAATCAAGTTAAAAGTTGGTCAACTAAAGAGAGAAGATGGCAAGGAAGTAACAGGCAATAAAGCAGAGCTGCTTAACTCATTCTTTAGCTGTAAAAGAGACTAGAAACAAAAGTTAAAAAGCAAAAAAAAAGTAAGAGAACACCTCTTAGAGTAAGGGCTCCTCTTCTAACTTAAGAAAGTGAAGACTCTTGAAATGGAGTATTTCAAAAGGAACATTTTATTAAGAAGAATGGAAGCCATTAAAGTCAAAGCAACATCTGATTCCCCTTAGGCAATGCAAGTAGAATTAAAGCAGTAGAGACCCCTCCCATTTCTTAGAATGCAGATTCTAGCCAATACACAAGTGTGAAGATGTTTCCTTTATCAACTGCCCTGAGAGCCTAATAAACATACATTCCCATGGCTATCTTCCATTAGATGTTAAAGTAAAATGACCCACCTGGCCATCATAAACATTCCCCCAAAAGATATGGGGATCTCAAGGCACTTTGGCGCCAGGAAACCAGTTGTAAAATATCAGTTGTCATAGGCACTGCTAATAAATTTGACTCCCAAAGCCTCCCTCCTCCCAGTTGAATGCCAGTATCACTTTTAGGGATCTGACATGCAGCGTTCTTTAGAAAAAGGGGAAATCCACCTGTAAAAAGATAGGGGGAAAAATCTATCATAGTATTTTAACAAGGTTTGTAAGGGTATTGGGAGTGAATTTGTTTCAATAAGGTAGGGGCCCTAACATGGTGTTTAGCTACCCGTTCATTTTGGGCTGAAGGTAGATGGTTTCAAGAAACTAAGTATTGGGTTTTTCCCCTGTGGATCCTAGAGTCAACGATTTCCTTAATTTCAAAGTGTTGTTCGCCTTCTATCATGATAGGAACAGGTGGTGTAGGTACAGGTGGTCTGAGTTGTGAGATTACTTCTCATTTGAGTAAACTAATGTGAAGTACTGGGTGGACCTATATGAGTGTCTTTGGACGGAGTAATTCTACTGTTACTAGGTTGATGACTCTAGTGATAGGGAAAGGTCCAATGAAATTCGGCCCTAATTTCTTAGATGGCTGCAAATAACACTGTGGCTGCCATTTTTGATTGAGCTGGCACAATGAAACCCATTGTTAGATTTTTCTCAATGAATGTTCTCAGTTCTTCCAGCTCCTTCAGGGACATGCTATATATCTTGGGTTTAGGGAGTTTGGCACCGGGTAGGATTTCTATCGCACAGTCAGTAGAGTGGCGTGGGGAGGGGGTCATTAGAGGCTTTTTTCGCTAAAAATCTCAGCCAAGTCTTTGTATTCTTTGGGTATGCCCTGGGTTGGCATAGTGTAAGCGGGCATTGCTGTTTATTGGTGCTCTGCCCCTCAGTTTCTTTTTGTAGATTCTCAGCAAAAGTCACGTGCATCTGCACTCTTATGGTGCCTTGCTTCCAATTAATTTTGGGGTTCCATTTTTTCAGCCATGCAAGACCCAAAACTAGTGGCCATTCCATGCCAGGTGCCACTATAAGTGTAAATATTTCTTCGTGGCTTCCAATGCCTATCTGTAGAGACTCAGTGGCAAATGAAGCTGGCTCCCCCCCTGCTATTGAGCCATTTAGTTGGCAAAAAGCTATGG